GTCCAGATGCAGATAAGCACAGGGGTGTTGCAAATGGAGAAGCAGAGAGCTGTATGCACTGCTGAACTCCTTGGAAAAGACTGGGATAACATATCCTTGATATACATATCTCTGATCTGAACGTGGTTTTCAGTAAGGATAATGCATATCTCGGGAGTGCTGGTACTCTTTGCAGTCTGCAATACAGAGTGTTGTCTCTTTCCGCACCCTCGATTTCCACAGTCAAACAGTGCCTCTGAGCATGACAAGAGTACCTTGCCATCACCACTAACGGCAGTCAGTCCTGTCAGCTCTGGGATTGGAAAACAGAGTTTCCCCGTGAAGTCTCTCAAAAAAAAAAGGTGCCCCTTTTCTAGCTCCGTATAAAAAAACAAAAAGTCATATTCATTAAAAGGAGCGCTCCCCCCCCCCTACAAGGACTAGAAAGGGTTAAAGTGAAAGAGCTGCATCCTAGAAAGGATGCATGAGGAGAGACACTCTCGGGTCCTTCGATTTCCTCCTTTGGAAGTCCGGCTTTGCTTGCCGGAGAGCTGGAGGTCTTGGTGCTGGAGCCGAACCGTGGGGGATTCTGTACCCGTGGGGGATACAGATCTGCGGGGCGGGTGCAGGGAGGAGCGCCCCGGGATGGGGTCTCTCTGGGTCTCACGTGCCGAGTAGGACCGGGGAGGAGGAGGTCGGGCTGGCCCCTTCCCTGCTGCACCCGAGGAGGGTTGCCCGCTCTGGATCTGGCCCTTGGAACGGAGGACGGGACTTCCGCAAGGAGCAAGGGAGGGGACCAGTTTCCCCTCCAGGCCGGCAACAGATTCCGCCGCTGATCTCTTCATAGCAAAACCCCCTCTGCTAAAGGTACCGGGCCGGGCCCGCTGGATCGGTTGGCAACCCTAAATTGGGCATGAGTGCCGACTCTGGAAAGGCTAGAGAGAGGGTGTTGCGGTCTGGGGAGGGAGGGAGACATGGAGCTGGTTCCATAAAGCATTCCCCCCCCCCCGGTTGCCAACTGTAATTGAGAAATACCTGGAGATTTGAGGGGTGGAGGCTGGGGAGCAAGGGGTTTGGGGAGGGGAGGGACCTCAGTGGGGTATAATGCCATAGCGTCCACCCTCCAAAGCAGCCATTTCCCCCAGGGGGAACTTGACCTCTCTTGCCTGGAGATGAGTACTCATTCCCTACCCCTCCTCCCATCTGAAAGGGGAGGCCACCTGGTCTTCCTGGGGCTGCGATCACACACACTAAACAATCCACTTCCAGTACACTTTACAACTGGATTTTGCCCATTCACACCGTAAAATCCAGTCGGGAAGTGGAGTGAAAGTGGATTGTTTAGTGTGTGTGATTACCGCCTGGGTGTCTTGAGTTCTGGCAAGGGCTTCAAAGTAAGCTAAATGCCATGTGGAACCGCTGGCCATTTCCACCTTTCGCTGAAGAAGAAGAAGAAGAAGAAGAAGATTAAGAAGAAGAAGAAGAAGAGATTGGATTTATACCCCGCCCTTCACTTGGAGTCTCAGAGCGGCTTACAAACTCCTTTCCCTTCCCCTCCCCACAACAGACACCCTGTGAGGTGGGTGGGGCTGAGAGAGCTCTGACAGAAACTGCTCTTTTCCAAGGACAGCTCTTATCAGAGCTACGGCTTGCCCAAGGTTATCCAACCAGGTGCAAGTGGAGGAGTAGGGAATCAAACCCGGTTCTCCCAGATTAGAGTCCGCGCACTTAACCACTACACCAAACTGGCTTTAAACCATGTTTCCCTCGTATGGTAATTGGGATTCTTCTGGAGGAGGAGGAGGAGGAGGAGGTGTGGAAATAGGAGGCAACTGGAAAAGGCCCTCTTGTAGCCTGGGTGCATACCATAGGACTGCCCAGGGACCGCCTTCAGAATCCCCTTTCCTTGTTCCTCTCTGCTGTGGTTCAGCTTCCCTTGTGTGGGTAGCCTTTTGAGAACAGAAAAGGCCAAGTGCAGAAGTCCAAAACTTTGAAAATCCTCTCCTTTGGACACCCCTCTTATACAAGGCAGCCATGGTGTGGACCAGAGAGTCTAGTGGAGGGGCTAAACCACCGGTTTGGTGTAGTGGTTAAGCGTGCGGACTCTAATCTGGGAGAACCGGGTTTGATTCCCCACTCCTCCACTTGCACCTGGCTGGATGACCTTGGGTAAGCCATAGTTCTG